ATATAAGAGGTATAGCTTCAAAAGTATTATATCAATTACGTATTTTTCAGTAGGTGATCAAGATCAGCACTCTAAAACATAATGAACTTAATATCAATCAAAACTATTTAAAAAAACAAAAACCTTTGCACTTTTTCTGTCGTTATTCCAAAGTCATAACGGAGATTGCCTGTGGTAATAGCATCTGCGTTTTGGATTTTGTCTGACAGATGGGATATCCCCATTGTTTTTGGGCACTATTACCACAGATAATCTCCAGTTTCTCATCTGCTTTTTGGGTTTGGTTTGATAAATGGGATATCCCCAATGCTTTTGGGTGCTATTACCACAGGCAATCTCCGTTATGACTTTTGGATAATGATCGGAAAGTGTGAAGGTTTTTTTTTTTTTTTATTTTTTTAAATATAGTTTTGAATTTATATTTATATATATGTGTGTGTGTGTGTGTATGTACATATAGTGTTATAAAAATTTATTGCATCACCCAATTTTTCCACAAACTTCTTCAGAATCATCATCTGTTTTGAGGATCTAATGCATGTAGATACAAATGTGTTTCATGAATGATGCAGTACTGTCTAATTGTTACATCAGCTGCTTTATAGGTTGTCTGTATATGGCATCAGTAGTTTTTTGGTTATAAATAGTTCTTACTGAGTGTCAGTTTAGAAACCTATCTCCTACAATGTGCATGTGATGCTACCATGACCAGAGGTTGTGATTCAAGTCCACAGTAAAAAAAAAGTTGTCATTATTTCTTTGAGCAAAGAGGGACTCTCTAAAAGGCAGATTGCTAGAATGAAATTGAACAAGTCTGCTGTGAGCTGATGGGTGGAGAAATAGAGATAGACTGGCTGTGTAGAACTGTGGAATGGAAAAGGTAGGAAGAAATCTTCTACAGTAGCTGGAAGTCATGTAATAAAACACATGAGCCTGCAGAATTGTTAGCTGTCATCCACAGATCTCAAAAAAGCATGGCAGGAAACACCACGTGCACCATCCAGTCTTGCCTGTGTTCAGCCAGTCTCCCAGCAATACAGCCAAGAAAGAAACCCCTCTTCACCAAGAAGAGGAGGGACAAATGGTTCAAAGAGCATGCTGAATAGACTGAAAAAATATGTAGCAAAATGATCTTCTTAGACAAATCAAAGTTCAACCTTAATGGGTCTGATGTGAAGCATTTTGTATATGATGTCAATATGAAGAAGAGTCATTCAGCATGTTTGAATGCAACTGTGAAGTACATGCAATGTCAGATGGTATGGGGATGTATCTCTGACTAGGTTGTTGGACACCTGCTTTTTGGGAAAGGCATTAATAATGCCAACAAGTACATCAAGATCTTCGAGTCTCTGTTAACCCTGCGACTACCAGATGAGGAGATTTGCTATCATTATATTTCTTCCAAAAAATAAAACTAATCGATGAAACTGTTTTGAATTTGATAAGTACCTTCCTCAAAATATGTAGTTTCACAAAAATATAATATTTAATTTTGATTTTTTCCTACTGTTTCTAATAAAAATTTTGTTATTTAATGTAGTTATTTGCACTCGAACTCTGAATACTTCACCTACAAGGTGATTTTCATTTTGAACATAAAAGTACTATTTATTATCTTATAATTTTCACATTTGTTGGATGTACAAGACTGTTTAATGTAGGCATTATTATTTAATTTATTTTTTGAGTTAATATTTAATAATTGTTTTGTTTTTAAGATGAGTGTTGAAGATGGATTGTTGTAAAAGTGTTAGTTGTGACAAATTTAGTTATGTAACTCTGTATGAGTCATACGTTGTTGTTGAGGCTTTACTAATATTGTTGATGTCACATTACTCGAATCTTCGCTGTTTTTCTCATTACCTTAAAACTGGGTATCGTTAAATCAGTGCCATTTCGATACTTTATAGAAAGTTTGAGGCCTCAGTGATCAACATATAAATATAAGTGATGAAGTGAGAGCAAGTTAAGAACTAAAGAAGCAAAGTTAAGTGCAGTTCAGTCAGAAAATTAGTTAGTGAAAGAAAATGTAAAATTAGTCGGCGTGTGAGCGATTAACCACAATGGCCGATATTTTAAAGTGAGTTTCACAGTTTAATAGAGATAAGGAGAATAATTTGTCTTGTCAAAGGGTGTTCTAAAGTAATTGAACCCATCTGTGTGGAATTATTTAAAGTTCAGGATACAATTCTGGTAACCTACAGGGTAGCATAAGTGAATTATTCACTGTTACTATTGTGATAAGAGTAGAGAAAAATAGTTCATCTTTTCAATTGGATTCTAAAGTAATTAAATCAACCTAAATGGGCTTTTGGCTAGAAAAGAGAATTATTTTGAGTTTGAGATACAACTGTGATATCCATAGTGTAAAAATTTTTGTACATGGTTTGACTTGTTTTGAATATTATATTTTAAAACAAGTTGAGTGTGTGTTGTCCATTTATTGTTCAAATTTATCGCCAACTAGTCATAGACACCTACTGTAGAAGAATCCTCAACACACTCATATTTAAAACCCCGACAACATTTCATTTCCATAATCTCTAGAACCTTTTAAATGTATATCAAAACTTTTTTTAAGGTATTTGTTTATATTTTATTTTCCATTTTCTCTACTGCATCACTAACTATAGCTATTATCATCAATGTACAGTGCATTGAAATGTTTAAAATTAAGAAATGGAAATATGTACTTACTTCATAGAATAGTCTTAAAATATCTTCTTTGGGTCATATGCGTAATTTCATGTCTTTATCTTTTCACTTGTAGTTTATTTTCAATATTTTCTTTTTTCTTTTCAATCCTTTATCTTTTATTATTTATGTCAATACGTCAGGCCATTATAAAGTTACGATCAACAGACTCTGGGCAGAGGTATGTTTGCTGCATGTAAAATGGTGTTCACACACGCCTATTTTTATAAGTATTCACGAGAGAGTCGACCAAAGGTAAAGGTAAAAAAATCATTAAACCTTTCAAATATGAATTTTAAAACACAAATGATACATAATTAACTAAAATATATAAGTAAAACTTAAATGCAATTGTACTATCTATCAAACTAACATGTATAAAGGAAGAAACTATAGCCAAGTGCTAGGAACAGCAATTCATCTGTCATTTGAAAAATTATCTAATATTTAATTTCCTACTAGCCTGGAGAAACTAATCGTGAAATATGCTCTTTCTGTTGCTTATAAGCATCCTATTAAAGTCTACAAAAGACCATTGCTTAGCAACATATTACTTTGGAATTTGAGCCTAGCATGTAGCAGTGGGGGTGGGGATATAACCATTTCCTAAGAATTCTAGCTGTTGAAATACGAAACTAATGTGTCTGGAACTTGCACTTGTACCCGTAGAAGATGATAGAAGCTTGTCTAGATTGTTGTAGAGGTACTTGGGAGTAAGCTGTAAAGATACATAAGCAATCAAACCTAAGGTATTTCAATGATATGTACATCATGTGACAAGACAACTGAATATTTAATTGTTTGTTTCAGAGGTTTCTTTCAAAATAAAGAAGTAATGACTTGGATAATATAAAACTTTAAATTATAATATATTTGATAATGCTAATTTCATTAAAATACATTGGCAGTAAATTGATTTAATTAAATGTTGAATGTAACTTGGTGACATATTGTGACATGCACAGAAAGGTGTTTAAAAAGTATAGTGGTTGTTTAATGGTTAAAGTCAACAGTTCAGGATCACTGCAGTGGATCTGACCAGTGCATGTTATAGAATGACTCTACTCCCTGCCGCAGGACTAAAAAGGTTGTTAATATTCATGCACTCTATGCAGTAGATGTGAAATAAAGAGGAAAATTCACTCTACATATATGATAAAAACATTAAGGTTTTATAACTGTTGGAGGTATCCCACACTCTACAAAAGTTTAAAATTCAGAAAACAGCTAAAATAGGATAGAAAAAATATATTGTTTAAAAACATTTCGCCACTGTTAACGTAGCATCATCAGGAAGATAATGAGTAAGAAAGTGCGAGAGAAGAAACCAAAAAACACCTTGGAACTGCAGGAAGCCCTAATCAGTACTTGCTTCATGAACTCACCTATGCGCACATTCTGTCGTGCATTCTATGTCACAACAATGTCAAGCAGTTATCAAGGCCAGTGGAGATACAATCAAACATTTCTGTCAATCACATTAGTGACATAATCTTTAAATCTAGGTTTTCTTACTCGGATAACATTTTCATATTTGCCAAGTATTTGTTGATCATTTGCTGTAATATGTTTGTCACAGTAAGTTTATTAATTAAGATGTATATATGTGCTTGTATTACTGAAATATGAGTCAGCTTACAACACATAATGTCAATAACCATTTTACACTAGTTCTGATATTTCCACAATGCACAATCTCATAAAAAATCACCGGAACCAAGAAAAGTTGGAAAAAATTGTGTGAAGCAATAATTTTTTCCACCACTGTATGTGTGGATGTATAAATTTAAATATATATATATATATATATATGCAACTAAAATAATTAAACTCCACTACAGAAAATTAGAGTATTGTGAGAAAATTCTAATGACAGAAAAAGTTTTGATCTATATATTTTAAAGAAAAATGTTATAACCCGACAACATATTTAGTCCAGGAATTTACACTTATGTGGATGTTTACTCTAAACTCTTTTTCTTCCACACTTATTATTTATTAATTTTTTTAAAAAATGTTTAAAAGTGTTTTTAGCATAACTGGTGAAGAAAAATATTTTTTTTTTGGTTATCATCCTTTTTGAAAAAATGGGTAGTTACTTCCTTCAATAACTAGAAAGAATATATCTTTATTTGTTTGTATTTTGCTTAAATTTCAAAAACTTTTGGTGCCAGAGATCTATGTGTAGTTAGTGAGGTTTTATAAACTTAATGTGGAAGGTTCATAAATCTGTACTAATCCTTTAACTTATATAAAGGCTACATACCACAATGATTGTTATTTTAAGCTTAAACTAAATTTAGCCCTGTTTCTGTGTCATGCCCATCTGGAGTGAGGTCATACTCATTTTGAGAGATGAGACAGAGACTTGTATAAGTAAAGATTTGTTTTTCTTGAATATCTATAATTGGAATGATTGTTGACATAGGTCATCAAGAACTTGTGAGATGTTTCACTAGAATTCTGGACTGACTTTTGAATGTCGTATCATCATTTCATCTGATTCCTGTCTATCTTGTGCAAATATGCTTTCTCAAGCTACAATGGCCAGAACGTTTTGTGGTATTCTCATTGACTGATTTCCCATCAAATAGTTTGGTAAGAAATGCAGAATAAAGAAAAACTCTCCAGAAAATGTATTACAAAACAGCCTGAGTTTGACAACAAAAAAAATACTTGGTGCAATTTAATCACAATTTAACAATCTTTATCTCAGACACTCAAATTTCTTTTCATAACAAAATGCTAAAATTATTACTCTGGTCAAGTGACATTTTCACAGACTTATATGTACACTCACATATATTTTCTGTAAAACATATCACTTTCAACTGTGAATGTCCTGGCCCCTCAGAATTTCCCAGGTCTTGTGTTTGACCTATATCTAGCTATGCTCTCCACTTTTGCCACTACTATGAAAATAGCTCTCACCCACATGCAACTTCTTTTTCTACACAAGTAAGCAAAATCGGCCAGCAACCATGCTGGTATTAACCTCGATTTTCTGACTATAGAAATTCTTTAATACTGATATCTTGTTTCCTTTCAAATTCAACCTAGCAGAACTAAAAGCAACTATGAAGTAATAATGCATAGGTATTACTTCTTACCTTTGGGTATATGCTTACAGTCTGCACTTTTATGCATTTCAACTGCAGTTTGTACTGAAAAATGCTTCATTCAACATGATTGAAAACATTCAGTCATAATGTACAGCAAATGTTTATTCCAGTAGGTTTGTATGGGATTAACAGACTTTGCTCACATCTAATTGTTGTTTTGTATTATCTGATCTTCCAAACCTTCAGACTGTGGGAGATAAATTGAAGAGCATCTTCTCCACACTCAACATCTTGCACAATTCAAATAGCAGCTGACATCAGCATTTAATGCCTCAATTCAAATGTGACCAGTAAACCCACTGTCACACATTAGAATAGTATAACACCTTGACTTCCAGTTATTGTAACATCTGTAAGAATTTTATGCCTCAGAACTCTGGGGATTTCTAGCTGCAACACCTGTCGAGGCAATTGGTAACAATGGTACAGCATACCTTCCTGCACTTGTTGCTGCTTATAAAAGTACCACAAGCTACGTGTGTCCCTACTACATTCCTAAATCTGAGCGAGTAGTGCCCACTGTACTCTTGGGTTCTTCAGTTGGTTTTCCTGAAGCTGCTGGAATGTTAATCTGGGTATTCAGTCACTTGTGGAACCTAATACCATATGGCCTGTTGTTACTGTGGCAGAAATGGTCTTAAGTCCCACGAAGTGTCTAGGATTAAATCACTGAAAAAAAAAAAAACAGACAGGTTTTAACAGCATGACGACGTCAGTTCTTCAGCATTTTCATGTTGCAGGCCCAGATGGCCTCATGTGACAAAGTCATCGATCTGCAGCATTATGATTTAATGTGCTATCATCTCTTCCAGATTTTTGAAGTTTACAAGCCACTTCAGTGATGTATGATTCACCCAAAGTATGAACTTCCTACTATACAGTTAGGGTTTATGATGTTTAACGACAAATGTAAGCAGTTCTTTCTTCATTATGCAATATTGGTGTTCAAGAGCTGTTGCTTGCATTTTCCACGACATCCTGTGATTGTGATAATACTGTACTGATTCCACAGTGGCTGGCATCAGTATCCAACAAGAACTCACAGTGATTTCATGAATATGCCAGCATGAGAACCTTCATGTAAGTGTTTTTTAGTGACAGGAATGTTTTCCCATTCTCCACAGTCCATCTAAAGAAGTGCCCTTTGGCTTCAGTGAAAACAGATAATGGTGCAGCAGCCTTGGAAAAATTGGCTATGAAGTATCAGTAATAAAATGCAAAACTAAGTAAATTGTGGACTTCTCATTTGGTAGCACTAGCAATACTGCTAGTTTCAGTTACATCCTCTTCACCTGCTGTTCTGATGATTATTCCAAGGAGAAGGTGGGAAGCCATCTGTCTGTGATTACAACCCAACTGGACTCTGTCAGTTTTATGGGCTGTGTGTAGCAGCAGCTACATCTTGCTTCATCCATCCTGTATCTGTCATGCAATTGTTTGAAACTTGTTATCTTGCTGATCTGGCTTCATGGCAAGGTACAGGCAATTCACTTTGAAGTTACCATGGTGCACACACCTAAAGTATGTGCTTTGATCCTCCCTTCTGGAGTTACAGCCAGAGAAAGTCTTTATTGGCTGTGGTACAAACATCATGGAAGGACCAGAGAAGCCCTTCCTATTCACTGTGGGGACCAGTGTAATTGTGTTGCAGCACGAGGATGTGCATACTGCTGGTTTGTCTACAATGCAGCTATAGCTTGATGTGGAGTGCTCACTTGGTTAGGTCTGTATGTTCAAGGTGCAGCCACTGCAGTTTGTGCTGCAAGCTTTTCCTCTCTTTGTGACCTGTTTCAATTTATGACTTTGAACCTCATCAGCATAGAAATTGCCTCCATTAAAATGAGAATGTCTCTCACACCCAATTAATGCCTCATCATCACACTAGGTAGCTCCTTAATGAACTTGTTGATGAGGATGTTCTTACAATCTGCTGAAGCCATTGCAAGGTATTCCTGCTCATATAGCTGGTGCTGATTATTAGTGTAGGCACACAATTTCTCAGGGGAATACCTCCTTCAAGATTTGAACTTGGCCCAATAGACAACTTGTTTTTTCTACTGGTTCAGAACATTGGTGAACTTAACAAGAACTATATCCCAGTCCCATAGCTGTACCTTATTTAAGTGCTAAAAAACAAACAAAGGCAAAAACATGTGTATCTTTTAAATGCTTTAACTAGAGAGCTCATGTATCAAATGTATTTGTAGCAAAATCTAATCATTTATATCTCTAAAATCATATCATGTTTCAGACTGAGAAAACATGGCATTATATACTAACAATAACAATGCCATTCTTCTTGGGGTACAGGTGCTACCCATGTAACAGGTGGTCACTTTCATGTGACATACTAGTTGAATGACCTACTTTCGTGAGTAACTGGGGTGAGAGGAAGTTAATGGCTACCTTGACTGTCTTTCTTTATTAAGACTGAAATACTTAATGTGTATTGAAATTTTGAAAGAGTTTATATAATTGGGAGTTTCTACTTACAGTCATTCTGTGTGTAGGACATTTCCATGTATAATCATTCTGTAACTGGTAACTGAAATTTTCTACTTAAAAGCATTCTTTGTATATCCTGGTAACTGGAATTTTCTACTTAAAATCATTCTTTGTACATCCTGCTAAATGGAATTTTCTTGTTATTGAGGTTTTTCTAAGTTTTATACTATAATTGAGTGTTCTGTATTTGTTTTAGGACTGCTTTCCAGCTCGATTTTCTGGAATCCATTTCATTAACCAACCATGGTATGTTGAAGCTGCTCTCACTGTAATGAAGCCTTTTTTGAAAGACAAGACAAAAGAGAAAGTTAGTGTATTATTTAATTTTATCTGTGACAAAATGAAATATTAATCTTTTTTTATGTACTGACAATTAATAGGTGTGACTTTTAATTGTTCTTTACATACCTATGGTTTGTTTCTTATATTTTCTTAATTCCTACTGTGGTTTTTGTTTGTTTTTTCATTCTAATTATCTTGTGTGAAATAGTTATTAGTAGTTTTTCGGTTCATCATATGTACTAATGTATACTTACCAGCTGTGATTTTATTTATATTGAGTATTCTGTAGTTATTGATTTTTTTTGTTTTGTTGTCATTTGTAAACTGATAACAAGAATTTACTACTTTTCGTCATCATGTTTATGTAATTGATTTAATGTGTTTGTTAGTTGTAAGGCGTAAACTGGTAACTGATGGCTTTTCTTTCATTCACCAGTTTCCTACTCATAGCTAAATATTTATTTTTAGCTGTACTTGTAAATAAAGGTTTCTGCTTATCCTATTTATACTTGAAACTAGAGGTTTCGGTTTATACTCGTAATTGGAGATTTCTGCTTATCCTGTTTATACCGATAACTAGAAGTTTCTGCTTATCCTGTCTAAACTGGTAACTAGAGGTTCCTGCTTATTTTGTTTATATGAGTAGGAAGAGGTTTTTATGTATAATCATTCTTTATTTACTAGTAACTTTCCTAGAAATTTATGTTTTAATTCTCATTTGCATATTGAAACTAAGCTTTTGTTATTGAATTTATCATTTCTTTCATGTCATGTGGGATCATTAAAAGTTTTTTTTTAGTTCTTGAATATTTTGAAATGTTTTTATTAAGATAAGCTTGAATGATAATTTCTTCTGAAATTGAGAAATTCTGCTTGGAATATATTTTTTATGGAAAGCTCCTGTAAAAATGTCATTGTCAGTAAACACAAAAATGAAAGATTGATTAGTAGTATCAGAGCTTTAAAACTTCTTTGTAAAGGACAAACTTAATCCTTACTAACCTTTTCTTGAGTTTTATTAAATAAGAAACTTTGTGATGGATAGTTTGAAAACAATTAATGACAAAAAAGGGTAATTGAGATCTATTTTCTAGTGGTTACAAGGTTGGTCAAACCAACAGACCCCATATTATAGAGTTAAGAGTACAGAAAATAACAGATAAAATATACTTAAAAAGTATGATATCTATTTAGTAGGTTTTAGAGATTACGCAAGTGAAATTTGATAATTTTCAGATGAAAAAGAGTATTTTTAATCTTAACATAAAAATCACTTTGCACTCTGAGCAGTTAACAGCTTGAGTGAGTTTAACTCTATACATTCACAGAGAAATCTGTAGCAAAAATACGTAACTAAGTAATATTTTTTTTTTTGTCAACAAAAGACTTGTAATGTTCACTGATAGTCTGTGGAATTTTGTGAAGATATGCTTACATTAACAAATGTTATAGTATGATTAATCTTGTATACATGTTGTGGATTTTCACTGAGTTTTGGTGTATTCATCTGTGGTACTTGAAGTATTGAGTGCAAGGATTGAATTCTCCCACCAGAAATATAATAAAAATGTCCATGGAATATGTGTGTGTGTGTATATATATATACATGTATAGATAGAGAGACAAAGAGAAAGCCAAAATATTTAGTACTTTTCAAAGTTTAACATTTTGATTCTTTTGCATATATTTTTCATTCATGGAGATAGTGTAAGTTAACTTGACAGATTTCTTATATAAAATATTCTTTAATTCTACTTCTTCATGCAAATAAGTCACTTTTTTAGAGACTGACTTTCATTAAGAAAGCTAAAGTACAACATTAAAAGTTATTGTTATCTGACAAGGTAACTGGTACTTAAAATATTAGTGCAAGTGATAAAGTGAATACCTTTACAATTGAGACCATGGCATATTGGCTTTGTTTAAAAGTAGTTAAAATACTGTGTTTCTGTGGTAGAAGTTTACAGACTGGAAAGTTTTTAATTTACAGTAATTTTAAAACATTTCAACTTCACATTTAGGAGTTCTGTAAATATTGTTGGTTGTGAAATGTTAAAATTAAGATTTCAATTTCACGGATTTGTGAATATTGTTTTGGTATACATTATTTAGTTTTTGAAGTATTTCAACTGAAAACTTTTAATTTCACAGATAGTTATATATTTTGGCAAATCTTTTAACCACCATGAAACTATAGAAACTGTAACTATGAATATAGTAAGTATATGTTTACAAAATTTTGCAAGCTTTTATCAAACATTACAGTCCTGTTGTACACAAAAATTCAGGTTTTTTATAAAGAATTTGTAATAAAGATTTCTCTCTGAACTTACAAAGCCTTTACTGAGTGCAAAATTATTTTTATGTTAAGAATAAATATACATTTGTTCACCTTAGAGTTTTCATATTTCATTTGCATAATCTCTAGGACCTCCAAATTAATATCAAAAGTTTTTTTAGTGAAACTTTATATTTTATCTATTATCTTCTATACTTTATCACTAACTGTATACAGGCTCGGTCAATCTGTCTGACCTCGTAACCACCATGTAGCAAAATAGATATTAAATAAACCTAAATTACCCTTTTCTTTTATATAGAATGATAGCACATTGTAAGAGACAACTATATACTATTTATTCTTACAACTAAAGTTAATATTTTTCAAATCTTGTGGTCATTTAGATTTATTGGTTTACAGCTATACCTTAGAGTAATGCAAAAGTAATTTATCACAGCAGGGCAGCTTTGTGTAAAAAAATATCAAGTTACCAGCATGAATGGTCAAATTACAACATACTGAACTAATGAGACATGTGCATGCTATTGAGTGTTTTTTATTTAATTTTTTCCTCCATTTAAGTGTTCGTATCTAACCTAATAAGTTTCCAAATTTTACATTTCAGTTACTCTTATAACAATAAATGAAAAATATACATTAAAAACAAGAAATTTGGTACTTATGCGTGGATCATGAACTTTTAGCAGTTGATCGTCTAAATAAAAATTAAACTAACCTTTTAGTACAGTTGTTGTTAGTACAGTACTGAATTTTTATTTATTTCAAATATGCAAATTATAACGTAAAATAATAATAAATGAAAAGAATACGATGTCCTGTAATTATTACAACTTAACTGTCCTTCTAATTAAGCTATAAGTGGTTTAAAATAATTCCATTGGCTGGTCGAGGTAACTTGGTAATAACAGGATGAAACTTTAGGCCAAATAATTTATAAGAAACCCAGTAAATTAAAATCTTCTGTTTCTGTTGGTTATAAATAATCGAATAGCAAATGTAGGAGAACATCTTAAAAGACAGGAATTGATAGAAGAAGGTGGTATATTGTTTTTACTTTCTGGTTTATATCTTATTAAAACAAGATTGGAGGCTATAAGTTAAAATTATGTCTTAGCAATATCTCTACTACAAGTGTAATTTGTGTTAAACTAAGGATCTCAAATGGATATTGAAAAAATACCATAAATGGGCAATTTGAAGCAAAGAATTATCATGTAATACAGAGAAGTGAAGGTTGAGAACTTATTTAAATATTTCCTTTTGAAATTAAGAAATTGAAATATTGATAATATTAAAAGTTGAATTATAAACTACATTTTGATGCCAAGTTTATTGAAATAAATTGATGATAAAGTAATTGAATTAAATTTTGAATTTAACTCCAAAAGAATGGTTGTTACACTTATTGTGACCTATCCATATTTATAGAGATAACATTGGGCAACAAAAAAAGTTTTTTCTCTACTGTTAGAAAAAAATGTAACTGTTTATGAGTAATTTGATGATGTTGAAAATTACTGATTACCTCTAGTTTCGAGTTATGATAAATTTATTCAAAATATTCTTATATATCATGAAAATAACTTTTTCTTGAATAACTTTATTTATTAAATGAAAATTGCATTTAAGAACATATAATCTGCATGCTTTGAAAAGTTTTTCATGTTCACAGCATGAACTTGCACACTGTAGTTAGAATCAAGATTTTGATGGCGAGTTTGGTAAAATGAAATCCTTGTTCCTGGAGCTAATAAATTTCATTGCTGTAAACGAGAGCCAAGAGTTCCCCATGTTGCTTTCATAGAGACAATTCACGAATCAGACCATTTTGCTCTTCTTGTGTGATCAGATGAGGCAGTTTATGTTGAGGTGCCACAGGAATAGAATTACTAGATGGTGAGGATGAAGATAATTCATTGTCTTCTTCACAGGATAATACTTCTGTTTCCCAACTTGTTGGTGGATGTTGCACTGAGATACCATCCCCATGAGATACTGATTTTGTTGCAGATGCAATATCTGGATATTTGATATATTGTTTAGTTTTGCCTGAATATCCAGAAACATTAGTCATGCAAAAATAACAGTCAGTTAGATGATCTTTGGGATCATGCCATATCATGGGTGTCCCCCGGTGGGACAGCATTAAGTCTTCGGATTTACAGGGCTAAAATCAAGGGTTCAATTCCCCTCAGTGGACAGAGCAGATAGCCTGATATGACTTTCCTATAAAAAACACAAACACACACACATGTCAAGAGAACTGCAAATGGCATACTTGCTCTCTTCTTACTCAGCTACTTTATCAAGCCAGATGTGCAAACTATAAACACACATGTAGAGCCCAATGTTTTTCTTGGTCACCATTATTACTTCCAAAATAGTGGTAGTAAGCTACATTTACCTTGTGTGTGATGTTTTTTCTTCGTGAAAGTATAATATATTTTCCACAAATGTAGCAGAAACTGTTTGAGTGATTTTTGCACTTTTGGACTTTACTTGATCTGGAGGCAACCAGCATTTCAAATGATTTTTAAAAAATATAAAAGAATTTATGTTTACAGAACTATAGTTGATTCAAGAAAGAAGATTTGAATTTGTTTTGACTTTGTGCAGAGCAAGGTCAAATGACCAACTGAGTGAGTGAGAAGCACCTGAGAGAGAGAGAGAGGCTTCTGACTCTGCTCATTTTATACTCAGTCGAGGGACTTCTTGATTGCTCTAGCAAATTGAGCATGTGAAAGTTTTGGGATTTCACAGCATAAATATATTGTACTGAGTTGATTGCATAGTAGTTCACATAGTGCTGATAAAATATTGTGATATTACAATAAACATTAACTCAAAATCTAGAGGTTATGGACAGATTTTGACTACATTTTTGATTTTTGAAATCAGCACCATCAAATTTCCCTGAATCGCTTGAGTTTTCACCAGTAACTAATTTATCCAGTGTAATTAGATTAAAAAGATTTGAACTTCACAAGTATCAATTTTATGAATATTGCTGATTTAGAAATGTTTAAATTAACATAGTGTTACTCTAGCTTTATCACTATTAATGAATTCTGCAAAAATTATGAAATATCTGTCAAAGAGGCTGTTTTTGATAGTTAATACAATATGCCCTGAGGACTGGAATATTTTCAATAAACTTACTAAGGTTCTACTTGGAATAGTGAAAATAAAAAATTGATTCCAAGATTTTGAATGTTTTAAATACATTTTCCAGTAACAAGTTTGCAAGATTATCAGTGGATTTGACGTTGCAGTATAATATGTTAGTTACTACTTTCCTTCCCATTTATGGAAAACATTTGAATTTTATCTTTATCCTTGTTATAGATCTTTATGCATGGTAATAACATGACTACACTTCACTCCCACATTCATCGAGACATCCTGCCTGCTGAACTGGGGGGGCTTGGACCTCCCTATCACTATCAGTCTTGGGCCTTGCAGCTGGTAGGAGAGCCATTTAGCTTTAGTGACAGAAATATTTTTTGGCCACTCCACAATGAAACTCCTTGTTCCAGCTCATCTCCTTTAACTTGTAGGTGAGTGTTGGATTCAATAGATGTTCCTATTATCCAAGATAAAGTACATTCAACCTGACAGGTTATTCTATTATAGATTATCTCCTTTATCTTGTAGGTAAAAGTTGATTCAGTAGACTTATAATCAAAGGTAAAACACATCCAGCCTCACAGGTTATTCTGTTCTAGCTCGTTTTTTTTATCTCGTAGAAGAAAGTTGGATCAAGTTGACTATTATTACAAAAGTTAAAGCACATCCAATTTGATTGGTGTCTTTATTCTGTAAATTAGATTATCTCAACCTAAATATGTATGTAATGCTTACTGATCTAGTAATTTGCTAGAATATAAAAGTGACTTAAAACAGCTTATATGTATATATATAAACGTAACTACTCCATAGATTATTTTATAAAAATTATACATTTATAACTCATATGTGTAAATTATGTCATTTGTTAGAAGCTATTTCAATTTCAAAAATGTTTATTTTCCAGACTTATTCATTGATAATTATTAATCTTTTGAAAGGATGTGCTGCAACTGATATTCTTTTTATCAATGTTTTTTACAGAGCCAAGCGTTCTGCTACTTGTCCATCTCGACTTGTGGAGCGTAAGGATGGAAAGCCATCATGCACAAAACTAGATGAATGTTTCTTTTTAAATGAATGAATTCACAAGAGGTTTTCTGGTCTCTCAGTTATAATAAACCAAAGAACATAAGTTCAAGCTTGGAATGTCATACATGAATTCTATATTTCTATGTTGATACAGAATAAAAGGTATTTCGAGAAACTTTGAAGAACATTTTTGAAAGGGAACTGCTTGTTATCATGTGGAAAATATCTTAACATTTACTCTAATAACTTTTATAATCAGGGGCCGAAAAACCATGTGTGAGAAACACTCCAATTGTCTTTGTAATCAGGTCAAAAATACATTCAAGAGGTGCATGTGTTTGCATTTCAATCGAAAAAGGTACTCATAACTGTCATAACTAAACAGAAATAATTTTAGCATCTATTTTACTTTAGTACAGTTTTTAACTACAAAAAACAGTGTTTAAGAAGTATATCAGTACTATCTGAGAAATAGACTTGTAGATATTTGAATCATCATACTAGAAATTGTTTTATCTTATTTATACAAACATAGGACTCATACTGGACTTTTTGTATTATTTACTACTATTTGTTGTTAGTTTGAAAAAAAGTTAGTTTTTTTTTCTAGTTGTGATATTTTACATATTTTTATTATACAAATGTGTATGAATTATATATATATATATATATATGTGTGTGTGGATATTTATTTATTATATATTTATTCAACTAAATGCCAAAGGTACTGTAAGCTGAAATGTGTAGTAAGTAAAATTAGCCAGTGTAATCTGTTCATAGTAAGAATTTAATTGAACTCTTAAAGTTGTTTGTAACTAAAGCTAACTATCAGGGTTGCAACTGATCTTTATTAGCATTGATTAATGTTAAAACACTTCCTAGAGGTAGAACAATTAGAAATTTCTGCATAGTACATGAAGTAGATTCCTTTAGACAGAAAGCTCTCAATGATATATTATCTTCAAGAACATGTATTCAATTATTCTTTTAATAAACCATTGATTAATGAATTTGAAAGGTGTTTATGTTTTTATTTAATTTAACTTTTCATTCTATATCTCAGTAGTACTCAGACAATAAATGAAAACTTTGTATCCATTCTCTTTATCAAGAGAAATTGTATAACTCAATGTAAGCAAGATTGTCAGGCACAACAATACATTCAACAATACTTTAGTTAAAATAATGTGTGTATGACATGAGACATTATCTGTGTTGGCAAAATGGCCATCATGTGCAACATTTCCTGAATCTGGTATCTCAGCTTCATTTTTTTATTACAGAGATTAACTAGTTAGTTTTGACACTGTGTCATTGTTCTCTGTGGTTCCCATTGATGAGGCTGAAATAATAATTATGACCAAATTGTAAGAAGATGACATATTTAATAAGAAATTTGTTAATGACTTCTATCAGAAAAAATTCTTTGTCTCCTGTATATAATGCCCCCCCCCCCCACCTTGCAACTCTCTCTAACTGTAGTTTAGCTACACATGGAAAAATCTTAAACACAAAGCACTTTTAATCATCTAATAAATGTATTGAAGTTTGACCTCGTTGTGTTCATGTCACTTTTATCATTTGGAAACATGTAAAGAATCTCATTCGATGACGAGGAACCCCACTTTGAGACTAATAATGGCTGGAGACGGCTTAAATGGGTAATGAAGAGGTACCTGATGATGAC